TGGGGGGGGGGGGGTATCTACCCTGCAGCCTAACATGATACCAGCTGAGCTAAAAGATTGCCCTATTTGCGTTACTCCTGGTCCAACAACTTTTCTGAGCTGCTCAAAAGAGGTTTGTGAAAAGAAACTCAAAAAGAAGTCTTAACCGCATAAAGTTATCAGGGGAAAAAAAGGTTGGGGGGTGGGGTGGAGATAAAGAAAATGAAAGCAAGGTAAAAGTAGAAAAGCTGTGGTATGCGTTCTGGCTTTCTCTAACGTAATTGGTCGCTTTTAAGGACAAGCGGGCTAACCCAGATTTCGGGGGCTTGACCTACACCAAAAGTGGGCATTGCCCTACCTACACGAGAAGTTTGGTTTCATCGGTGTGTATATTTATTTGGTTATAGAGAAAACCATCCTTGTCTTTTAAAGACACTGAACGATGGTCTAAAAACTTAACCTTCGATTTTCTCCAAAAAACATTTTTGGGGAGAGCCCCCTTGTGCTTTAAAGCGACCAGTTATCCATTTCATTTCCTCCTTGTGTGTACACCCGCCCCGATATACCCCTACATCAATCTTCTTTGGAATTCAAGTGAAATGCAGAAGTTGTTTTTGAAAAGAACATACCCACAAAGCCACCAGAACTTTCTGGCGAATAAAGGACGGCTTTGTTTGAACATCTTAGTCCGAGCAGACATAGCGGAAGGAGGTGCTCTGAGCTGACGTCAAAGATACAATCAACTAACAAGGCCACTGTCAAGGCAGAATTGGGAAATGTTCCTTAGGTTCTCTCTCATCTTTCCAACCCATCCCTCCCCCCTCTCTCTATCTCTCTCTCTCTCCACCTCTTTCTATATCTCTCTCACTCTCCGTTTTCACTCCCACCCATCACTCTCCCCCCCCTCCTTCCCTCCCTCTCTCCCCATCTCTCCCTTGCCCCAGTTCCCTTCCCATCTCTTGTGCGTTCACCCCCCTTCTCTCAATCTCTCCTTAACTTCTTTCTCCGTCTCTCCCCCTCCTCCTCACCTCCATTTTACCCCTCCCTCCCTCTGTCCTTGTCACCCCTTCCCTTCTTTCTTTTCTCCTCATTCTCTCCCTCTGTCCTTGTATCTTCTTCCCTTTTTTCCCTCCCCCTCTCTCCCTTTTGTCCCAATGCCTCACCGTTCTCTTGTATGTATCTCCCCCCCCCCAATATCTATATCGTTTTCTCCATCCTCCCCCCAAACGTCCCCCAACCTCCATTCATCCTCCCTCGTTCTCTCCCCTCCATACCACCTCCCCGTCCTCTCTTTTTGTCCCACTGTCAATCCATATCTCACGTACCTTCTCCCCACATCATCTCTCCCCCTCTTTCTCCGTTTCTACCTAATCCCCACCCCACCCCACACATTCAATTCCATTCACATTTCCCCCTCCCTCCTTCCCCCACCCTCCCTTTGCCCCA